TTAGTAGGCTTACTTTTCAATAGAAAGGTGTGCAAAAGACGCTTGTAGATATAACATAAAAGTTTCAACATAATAAATATGTCGAATATGTACATGTGCTCATATGAAGACATACTCTTATATAAATACAAATGTATATGCATATAGCTGCGAGTATTTGAGTAGTGAGCATCTAGAAGTTACGCTTGCGCATGAGAATTTTTTTCGCACAATGTTGGCTTGCATGCGAGCGTGTCAAGTGAATAACGAAAACAAAGCCATAATTAATAGCAAATTTAATTTGAGAAACTGAATTATATAAATTCTGTTCACTTGAGCGAAGTTGTGCAATTTTTTATGAGGAATTATTGTTTGCTAATGACAAAATGAGAAAAGGTCTCCGAAGTTGTTTCGAGTGTTCATGTAAAATACTTTAAGTCTTATTGGGTAAAGATTTAACCCCGTTTGCTTGCTAGTGCCGACTTTTGCTCTATCGGAACTGAATTTTAACTTAATGCTTCAAGCATCACGTTTAGAGAGCAAGCACTTGGAATATTTGGTCCCTTAATGGGAAACGTGCCACTGCTCAGCTGGTTGATGCCCTCGAAAGAATAAAGGCTGACATCACCGTCATCCTTATCGGCACGAGGACCAAAACGAGGTGGGTTCTTGTGGAATTAACTACAGCGCCCATATAAAGGATCGATGAATTGCTGTTGGACTTTTTGGTAGGAAAGAGACTCCGGCGTCGAGTACTGGCGTTCACTCAGGTGCGACAATCTGCATCGCCCACGTATTGACGGACGATAAGGATGATGTGACCAATCTTATGGACTAGCCAGAGTAAACTTAGATTTCAATCGACGACATAACTTATAACTTCTCTTCAAACCAGAGTATACTTGGCTTGAGGACGGAGGTCGTGAGCGTGAGAATGGTACTCAAAAAATTGTTTTACTTGCTTGAACTACTAAACCTACAGCTACATACTGGAGTAATCAGATCACAAAACAAAGGCTTTGCTAATGACCAGCCAGAAAAAAGTAAAAGGTATACAAATCAGAGTAGGTCGCCACACTCTAAAATTGAAACCAACCATCAAATCTTCCGGGGTTATTCTTAATCACCGAACTAGCTTTCAAGAGCATTGTAAATACTACAATGAAAGAGCGAGTTAAGTCGCTGGGGCTATCGCAACACTGATTCTAATTAGAGAAGAAATTTACTTGTGAGCATCGGTTCGTCCATCCTAAAGAATGCGGCAACAATTTGGGTTAATACCATACTGACACGGCGTACCTGGGAGAACAAGTTTCGGTACATATATTAGCGTCGCTAAAAGCCTTCGTGACAATGTCAGATGAAGCCACAAACCTACTGGCCTTAAGTTTTCCAGTAGATATAGTAGCCACAGCTCCTTTACAAGTTAGGCGTAACCCAACTAAAGGTTTAGAAATCAAGCAACAAAGTAAAAATGAGACACAGTAAAGGTGAGATTCGTCTTCGAAAGGAAAATAGATGAAGGAGCTGATTCCAAGTGTTAGCGAATAGATCATAAGACAGCACGGCCAAACTGACTATTACCTCACGTAGTTCCTCACAGGGCATGACTGCTTTCGTCAATACTTGCATAAGTTTACATATGCAGACAATTCTTTTTATTTACATTGAAATGATGAGATGGAAGATGTGCTCTGCATTCTTTTATACTGTAGCCGATTTTACGAAGGTCGAAGGCGGCTTAAGCATTACTTGGAGTCATATTGCCTCCAGAAAGTCTATTGAAGGCAATGACTTGTAAAGCAAATATAGATGTGGATGAGATGCGCAGATATTATTGTAGAAATAGTGAATCGTCTTAGGAAAGATTAGCATAGAGCACGTCGAGAAATGTATTAGATGTTATGCTAGTCTGGGTCAGAAACTCGTTCTTTCTGACCACGCTTTATAGCCTATAAGTAGAGTTGAGTGGAAAAATAGCCTTTCCGCCTGCCCTACTCTGATTTAAGTACCTTTTTGTGACGAGAATATGGATCGGAAAGAAGACCCTTCCGCCCATGTACCTAACCTGACCATGAAAGCGAGGAGCGGAAGCTAGAACTTTATCAAGCAGTAGAAGATGATGAACTTGAGACTGGGTCTCGACAGATTTTTATGATACATACATTTCTAAGAACATAATTATGATCTTTCTGTGGGTACGAGAACCGAACGCAATTGCATAAATTGAACGATGACAATATTTTACCAGATTAAGTGTTTATTCCATGACATACTTTGGTAAATAAATTAATTTGCGAGTGACCATTATGGGCGGCTTACCACCTTTTTTTGCCGGCTACGGAAGCTGTCGCTGTTAACACCAGCAAAACAAGAAAAAAAAAAAATATATAAAATTAACATTGACGTTTGTTTCCATTGTTTCGGTTCGTTGATTTCGGAGCATTTTATTTTGGTTTTTTTTTTATTGTTGTACGGGTTATTGTGATCATTATTGTTGTGTGGATTTGCGTTTTTGTTTGCACTCACACAGTTCAAGAGCTACGAAAATTGTGCGTGCTTTTCCGGCACTCTTTAGCGACGCAAGTTACATATATACCTATATGTATACATATGTACATAGAAAAGTACATATGTATGTATATTCATATATGAAATAAGCATGCGTGAATGGTTTTCACTTGATTTGTATTATCTAATTTTAATTTATTTTATTTGCATTTTTTTGGTGTGATTTTTGTGTTTGAAAGCAAAAATAAAAAAAAGCAAAAAAAACGAAAAAAATCTCTGCTGCATGAATTTTCATTTTGTGTTGTTGTTATTTTCTGCTTGCTGCTCCCAGCCTTCAATGCCCTTGTCGACAATTAGTGGTGTTTACAACAACAATAGTTGCAAATAAACAACAATATTGTTGTTGTTTCAGTTTCTGTTGCTTCATGGTTCGTTGAAGGCATTTATAGTACAACATGATGCTGCTGTGGTTGTTGTTGCTTTTGTATTTATTTACTTTGAACCTAAAAAATAGCGGAAGCCAACAGACAGTATGTGCGCTTAACAGAGTTGTTACATTTAAATCAGTGACTTTTCTTTCCCTCTTTCTGTCCCCATTTTCTTCTATAAATTAAGTGGCAAAATTTTCAGTTGGAGATACTGAAAATTGCAATTTATTTATTTTTATATTTTTTTTCATAGTAAATAAGTTGTCATTTCGTAAATTGCATGGAAAATTTCAAAACTCCACCAAATGTTGTCGAATATTTTCGCTCTATTTTGTTGGTATAACATATTATGGCTGTGTGTTGGTTTGCCTTGCGTCAAGTCAGTCACTCAGTTTCTCATGCAGTCATTAGCGGCTTATTTTGGTAATTGTCTACTAATTTAAGCAGCTGCTGGTAGTGTCATTAAATACAGATGTCATAAAATATTTTCGTGAAAAATTGATCAAAAAACTGCTTGAGCCCGCAGGTTTTAACGCTTCAGTTGTGCACCTTCCCTTTAAGTCATCTTCCTTTTGTGAAATCTTGTGTTAGCAAAACACTTATTATTCATATTTACATATTACCAGAAACCTCAGTCACACGTTGTTGTGGATTTCTTCATTTTTTTTTTAATATGTATTAATGTAAAGGGTGCTTTTTTAGATATGTGGTTTTGAAGAAGAAATATATATTTTGATGTTACGGCTTACGGATTCAGCTAAATATTCAAGATAGGAGCTTGCCATTATAAAAAGAAGTTCTGGAAAGTGAACGCCGCAGCACGTTGGAATGAACTCCAGTCTAGAGGCGCAATTTTCGACCACTTTTTGCAGCAATTGGGACCGTATGGTAGCAGTAATGTGCTGAAAATCTCTTATTTTGACCTATGCCTAGGTATAGTTAATAACCAAACTCAAATCAGCCTGCAGCCGCATTAAACTTACATATATGATGCAGTGATCTAAGAACGATGTGTAGTTTTATTCAAATCGTAACTAGTTTCATCGATCTTTAAATTAATATGTAATGTAATGTACAACTTTGCTTCCACCGTTTTCCGATAGGTGGCTCTACCGGCTGAGGCTGGTTGAAATATATAGATAATGCCTTTAAAGTGAGTGCGGACAGTGCCTAACGAATTGTCATCGTCGTTTCAGTGACAGTTGTTCTTGTTTTCGTATTATTCACGCTCGAAAATATCCGTTTATGTGCCTTATTCTCGCCATTTGCGGGAAGTTTTACTTTTCTGTTACAATTCGAAAAAAAATGCAGCTGAAGCGCATCGAATGCTCTCAGAAACTTACGGTACTGCTGTTCTGAGTGAAAGAACGTGGAAAGGAAAAGCGGCCACAATATCAAGAGCGTCTTGACAAAGTCATCCTCCAACACGACAATGCTCGGCCTCACGTCGCAAAAGTGGTCTAAAAGTACCTGGAAACGCTGAAATGGGAAGTCTTGCCCACCCGCCGTATTCCCCAGATATCGCCCCTTCTGAGTTCCACCTATCCCGCTCGATGGCACACGGCCTGGCAGATCAACATTTTCAATTGGTAAAATGGATTGCTTCATGGATAGCGTCAAAAGAGGACTCCTTTTTTCGAGCCGGGATCCGAAAATTGCCGGAAAGATGGGAAAAAGTTGTCGCTAGCGAAAGACAACATTTTGAATAATATATCTGTAAGCACTTTTTCGCAATAAAGCTTTTAATTTTGGAAAAAAAACGGCGGAAGCAAAGTTGTACGCGTGGTGGTTTTGCGTTTTGATGTTTTTGCAAAAAATACAGTGGTTGATGGTTTTTTTTATGAGGAGCCTTTAGTTCATGTCCAAAAAACACTCGGAAAATTTTACTTAATTTTTTATTTAAATTAATTTTTCATAACTTTTGGATGTTACCCGAGCCTTCCGAATGTCAGTACGCAATATTAAACACTCCTTTACTGCTGCCGCCATATATTACTAATATATAGCTATTAATATTAATAATTACGATTAATTAAAAAATGAAAATAAAGCTAGGAATTTTTTTTATATAATTTTTTTCAGATTAACGAAGATTCATTGGCAAATCATTTGGCGGAACATGAAAAGGAGTTAATATTTGGAAAAGCGAAAGATGGTAAGTTAAACCAGAGCCTTGGTAGATAAACGGTTATGTCTAGAAGCCTTAAGTAATTCCAATTTTTGCAAATCTTTGAGACAGAAAACTGCAGGCAAGGTATTTTTGAAATACATACATACTTAAAAAATTTAATTATAGGAAAAATATATGCAATATATTAATGGTAGTTCTAAGCTAAGTTCAACTTGTTTTTTAGTTTTAATCATGACATAATTTCATCTTACGTTCGCAATAGAGATAACAAATATTTTCATACTTTCATCTATGAATGTACATACCTTCATCAATATTTATTTCATATTTCAAATTTAGAAAAATTCATTGAGATAGTGAAAATGATGAGCTTGCTAAATTAATTGATAAGAGCTTAGAAAACGTCATACGATATTTTGATGTAAATATAATTTAAGCTTTTTAACCGTTGAAGCGATTTTCGGCCGTGCTACTGCGCAGATTTCTTGTTGTTTTTTTTCAAATTTAGAAAAACACTCGGAGAGGTTTACATTCTCTGCCATGGAGCGACCGCAATCCGAATTTTTGTATGCTGATTTGCCTGGGTCTGAGACCCATAACCCATCGCATGTTGTTAAGCACTGACAATCATTCGACGTAGTTAAACGCATGCAGGAAATATCACTCAACTTTATAATCAGTTGAATAAATGCAAATTAGGGTATTCCCCGTCTAAGCTAGAGATTCATTCACGGTTATTTGAATGTTTTTTTTTTTTAATAGATCGACATGCTTTATCTATTAATAAAAAATGCTGATTTTAAATTTTGCTTTGCTTGAAATATTTTTCAACTCGTATACAAAAATGTTATTTGTGTTTATAAAATAAATTAATAATACATTGTATTAGCTACGTATAACCCCTAATTAACTATTTATATACATATACAAATTATTATGCTCATAATTCGAGAATGGCTCCAGAACGGCAGCATCGCTTTGACGAAATTTCATTTTGATGCTTTTTTGGAAGTTCAGGGAAAATTTAAACGTTTCGAAAAATCGAAGAAAAGGACAAACAACCAACCTATCCGTAAAAGCTTTATGGTTGGAACTCGAGAAGTAAGTGGCATTTTAGATTAAAGGGAACACTGGTTACCTCTAACGGATGTGAAGTAACAATTTACTTGAATCATATGTAATACTGTGCCTGTGCGGGAAATGGTACACCGACAGATTGAAAAAACTGCATTAAGTTGCAGGCTTCATTTACCATAGTTCGAATTATCCGATTTATGCAATGTCAGTATGCATCTCTTTTAGAAAAAATGCTCTTGAGGCCAATTCCTCACCAACTATATCATGCGGCAAAGACAGGAACAGATGGTAATCACTTGGTGTGAGGCTCAGACTATGAGGTGAATGCATAAAAACCTTCCAACCAAACTCTTAGAGCTTCCGGCGAGTCACTTTCGTTCTGTGTGGTCTAGCATTGTCCTGAAGACACATAATTTTCATTCTGTTGTCCAATGTTGGTCGCTTCTGGGTAATTGCTTGCTTAATACGGTCCAATTGCTGATAGTAGAGGTCAGGATTAAGAATTTGGTCGTAAGGAAGAGTCTATGATTCCTTAACAATCTCACCAAATACACAACAAGACCTTCCTGGATATCAATCCTGTCTTGAAGATCGCTTTAGTCGGTTCACTGCATTTTGGCCACGATCGTTTTAATTTTAGTTCGATGTAGGTGATCCAATTTTCATAACCAGTCACCATCTGCTTTAGATATACAGAGGTCAATTTTGTTACGGTTGAATAAGGAGTCCCAAATGAGAATTCGTTCCATGAAATTTTTTCGAGGTAACTCATTAGAGAGACTCATATATCGATTTACATTGTGTATCCAGTCCCTTCAAGTGGCTTCAAACAGTTCTTTGTTCAATATTTAGTTTCTGGACGATCGAAACAGTGCTCGAATGATAGTCAGACCCGATGATTTTCATTATTTTATCGACATTCCGTGGAGCATCTTTTACATCAAATTTACTGAACCAAAATTCTGCATGGTTGAATATTACGGTATCAGTACCAAAAAAAACTTTTCACATTTCAGCTCCCTGTGTTGAGTTTTTGCCAGGCATGCGCTCAAACACTATCCATACTTCTCCCATAATATTTTTTTAATCTAAAAAATCAATTTTCGAATGCCATCTAGCGTAACCCAATCGCACTTATAGAACGTGAGTTACAGATCGCCAAAGTAAACTATTTCAAAAATAATTGATTACTTTTTATTAGATCTAACATATATTAATATATATATTCATGAGTAATATTAACTATAAATTCCGAATAAATCTAAGAAAATCGTGCACTCGATATTGACAGCATCATAATTTCCACTACTGATTATTTGCATGAAGTTCAGTAGTGATTGGTATTCACTATACGAGTATTTATGTGTTCTAGCACTTACTAAGTCGCCAGAGGCGAAAGTACTTGAATAGACAAACGTTTAGACAGTTCGACAGGCAGACAGAGCGATAGATAGATAGACAGACAAATGATATAAGCCAACATGCTAAACATAATCGTGGAGGGCATAGTCACTGGCAGCAGCAGCAGCAGCTCCTTTGTGTCGCCACACTGACCCCACTGAGTGTTTACGAGTATATGCCAACTTCTAAGTTCATTTGGATTAGCAAAAAAAAAATATATATGCTTGTACACCTATAAATACATACCAAAGCGTATAGTTGTATGTTGTTTGATAAATAATTGCCAACAATTGATCTGTGTTATTACAGGGCGTCCACTCAAATTGGTGCATTTGCAACATCTAACAGATGCCAATGACGACAATGGAGTAAGCAATGCTGCAGTTGGGTCGACAGCACACAAGTCATCGCATCGAGTTAGACGTTCCGACACCAGTGCCACCGCAGATGATCAAAGTGATGGCGGCAGTGGCGGCGCTCAACCGCAAGTGGCAAGTCAAAGTGAGGAGGAGGTCGTTTCTGTGCAAATAAAAGGTAAGCGAATCACATCAAACACACATTAAAACATAGTAAATGCTCCAATTGGAATGCGCTTTTGGTTGAGTGCATACATCAATGATATATATGCTGTATACGCGGATAAGGTGAGCCTGACGCTTTGAAGCTCTTGCGGTTGGTGGTATGCAAATAAGTGTTAGGGGATTGACAGCTCGCGGCAACCAATGTGGGATATTTATATGTACAACTAAATGCCGTTTCGCACTGTGGCGCTCAGATTTGAAAAGCTTCATTTAATAAGCATGAAATGGGTTGGATAATTATTTTCACACAACTTGAAGTTTATGTGGCTCTTTGTAGATCGCTCATGAGGCAGCATACAAAGTGTCGTTGGGAAAACTCTACCGATTTTGCATCTTTGAACATTGTATTCCATCTTTCAGAACCGGGATGTTTTGAATAATTCTGACAGGCTTATTTCTCAGCACGAGAGAGTAAAGCATTTCACAACTAAATATCTTCTCAGAGTGTAAAGACACTGCCGAGCCCCCCAAATACGGCGACGAAGAAATTACAAGTAGTATGCATCAGCTACTTTGTAGATTATGGTCGGACAAAAGCTTGTCCGAGGATTAAATCGCCAAAAAGGAGTCTGTGCCGATTAACGTCGGACAAGCCACTCAATATTGCAGATAAGGCTCTATCTACTGACTAAGCCACCAGTATGGCTTTAAATCTGATAAACCCAGATAAATCCATCATACGCCAGATATTCATCATTCGTAAATTTAACTCAATAAGTGAGAGAGAGATGCCACTCCATCCGGCATTTTTTCAGTACTTTATTAGGAAACCATTCAGGCTATTTTTTCATATGTTCTTCCTCTCATATTTCGACCCTATTTTTTGATTTGATCACGTTCTATAACGAGCTCTGCCTCGGCCTAAGTTTGGCATATAAAGCCAATGCTAGGTTAACTCTACCCACATTCGGGCTAAAAGCCAGTAACGAGGCTTTACCCGGTAATTATTTCATCTTTAACCGGTTTGAGCAATCTTAGTGGGCTCTTATTGCCATGACATCGGCTTAAAAGCTCCGGTGGAATCTCATAGATGAAACTGTCCTTAGTTGGTTTTCAATAAAAGTACGTACTGGTGGTCAGAGATTGAACCACTTCTTGTGGACTTATTTCCCATGCCAATCTTACGAGAAAACTATTAAAACAAACAAAGTTTTTCTTCATTAGTGATAACGTCACTTACGACATACCTATCTGTCCTATTTATTCCTATATCCTGAGGTTCTTATTGTCCCATCTCCATTTCTGTTCAACATTCACAGCTTTATTGAGAGACCCATCAACGGTTAGTGGAGAACTCAGGTATTGAGCAAGTTTGGAAACTAGCATTGTCCTACCGAAATTTTCTTCCAAGCATACACTTCCTCTAAGCTCAGAGGACTGAACAATCACATTCATAGATGGGTTCTATCACATCTAGTATCTGTAAAAACCCAAAGAAAGACTTATTTCCAACCCGCTGGGGGCATATGACCATGTTAAACATACAGAGATTGTCATTTTCGTCAGCTTCAATGACTTCATAACCTTCTTGAATATGCTCAGACTCCCCGCTGTACTCATAGTAAGCTCTACAGAGTGCTTCGTTAGGTTTTCTTCCATTTTGTAGGCAAAATTTTTTTATGAAATTATTTTGCTCAGCGAACGAACCTACTGAAGTCTTAAAATTATTATTCTGCCATTTTAATTTAAACTATTTTCTGCCACTGGTCACTGACTTAAAAGGGTAATAAATTGTTTCTAATAAGCCCACCAATACTATAATGGTTTCGGATCATTCCTAGCGATGATTTAATGTATTCTTCAAACTTGTTTCCAGCGGCTTTGGAACATAACATATTATACCGGCCAAAGCAGCTCGAAGCTAAGCGTTTATGAGATGGGCAAAGAAACTCACTAACGCTCACTAGCTTATAACTGAAAAACGTTTAGCTGCTGCAACATTGGATCCGTTGCGATATACATATTCTGCTCCACAACTCTTCCACTGATTTTGCATCTCATTTTCTGCTTTGTTTGTTTTCAATATGCCTTAAATAAATATTTAAACTTTTTTTATGAACTATTTCATTGTTTTGTTTTCCGTTTTTCTCTTTTATTTTTCCCTCTCGCTGCAGACCACGAACAGTCGGTGCACCTACAGCTGCGCCAGACACCGAAACTAATCGACGATGCTTTTGTATTCATCCGACGCTATGCCAACACGTCGCAGTTCATTGAAGATTCGCATAAATTAGCGGAGCGATACGAGCGGTGCTTTTACAGTAATGAAAATTCAGCACTTGACCTTTGCGATGATGAAAATGTGGTAAGTAACAACAAAAGCGAGCAATAAATAGTATAAAATGATGAATGGAAAATCAACAAAGCGTCGGCATATTTGTGGTGTGCGAAATGTGTTTGGCTCGAGCGCATAAACCACAACTGTTGTCCTACAAGTGCGAAGATTTTGTTGAATGTGATCAAAAATAATTATGAATGTTTGTTTGTATTTTTGTGGAGTACACCAATTGGGCATGTAAGTGGAAAGTAGAGTGCTCGGGTCAGTTGTCACGGTAAAAAGGGGAACTGTGTGTAGGAAAAGTTAGACTAGGAACACGAACGATTCATCATAAGTGATTATGCGCAAGACACTTGAAATGAAGTCTACCATTAAAAGAGATATGTATGGTCAGCGGGTGGAACAGCGGTTTTAATCCAAGCACCTCTTTCCAATTTCCCAAAAATCAAAGGACCTACAACTATTTCGAAGCACCTCCGCCCGGCTGAGAGACTTTTATGAGAAACACCTTCACTATCGTAGCTTATACTTATATCGTAGCTACTAGGTTACTGCGTAAGTGAAGCGTTCAAAAGAATGAATGATCTAGACTCACACTCTCATTCTTATTTCTCATTTTCGTGGATGTCATTTATTTTTTTCCGACTTCTTTCACAGACAAAACTTGTTATGAAAGCGTGAATATATTAGCTTGTATGGCAAGGAATGTATTCTTCTGAAGCCTTAGTATTAGAAAATATTGTGCTGCCAACCATCGCTCTTTGATAGTCCGATATTGTTTACAAAGCTTAGGAAATTGCTATAAAGGCTCCGCCGTCAATGATCATACAGAGTACTGCTGTCACTCGACGCTGGTGTTACCCACGGTTTGATGGCTTTGCGTAAGCACCAGTGTTTCAGAGTACTAACCAACATGGTTTAGGTCAAAACCTATCTCAATGTCTCAATCTCAAAATTACCAATACAACTCCTCATCGAGCTGGCGCAAGGTTAACTCCTCCCGCGCTTTGGTTTAAACACAACCATACCTGGATTCTTCGGTTGACAATTCATCTTGAAAAGGTCTGAGCGACTCACTGGTCTCCTCTTTCCATGATAACTGTTTTATAACTCCCTTAGCAACTCCTCCCGAAAATTTTCTTCAGTTCAACTTCCATACAACTCCGGACTGGTGGTGGTGGTGGCCTGCGATTGGAATTCACCATCTGAAAACCTTACCAGCAAACGAGAGACCCATGGTTGGTTAGTTAAAGACTCAGGTATTGAGAAATTCTGGAAACTAGAAATGTTTTACCGAAATGTCCATTTAAGCATTCTTATGCCCAGCGCTCACATAATATACTCATAGGTGGGTTCCTTCACCCTAACAATTCTGTAAAGGTCCCCAGAAAGACTTACTATGCCGCTGCATGCTCATACTATACAATTAGATATTCACATCTTCGAACTCATATTGCACTAAGCTTCCTGGGGCTGTTTTACTTCTCAAGGCTTCATTTAGTCTCGCTGCTGCTCTCTTCAAATATAGCATGCTTCGGTGTCAACTTTGAAGTCTGGTTCGCATAGTTCGATTCCAATTCATGACAAAAGTGCCGACCTTTTTCCTCAAATCACTCATATAACCGTAAGAGAATGGAAGCCATGCTTATGAGCTTTTTATGTAGATTACAACCGTTTCGACGAACTAGCTGCACTTAGCTAAGTGGGCAACCTTATCAAACATAACCTAAACTTTTCTTTGAACTATTTAACTCTTACTCTATCTTCTCATGTTACAGCGCGGCGTGTTTCATCACAATTCCACCAACTACATTATACATCCACTGCCAGCACGTTTCGGCAACTCTACCCATGTAATACTCAAGTCCAACTATGACTTGCCACCAAAAAAGGTACTAGATACTGCCGTTATGCCACTGGCAGCCACTGCACTCAATACAAGTTCATATTTCGAACCCGAGGAAGAGGAGTTCAATGAGTTGGACGATTTGAATATAGAGTCCACTTTAAGTGAGGACAGACTACGTCCAGCGCGTAATAGCGGCCATGAAGCCAACGAAGATGGAGAACCTGAAGAGATACATAACTACACATATCATCACAAAGGGAGCGGTGATAATTCAAGAAAATATTTGGAGTTAAACTTACGGTATAAACCACGTTATCATCACAACAGCGCACAGAAGCCGCAGCTGCATGAGCAACAGTTGCAACACCTGAAATATCAACATCATCAGCAGCATAACCAGCATCTGCAACAACAAATAAATAAGCAGAAATCAAATAAAGTGCCACAACGGCGAAGAAAACAAAAAGAACATCACCATAAACACCAAAAACAACAAGAGATACATGACGGAGCAACATTTACACATGAACACAGCGACGTCTTCGTACACAATAAAAAGAAAAATAAAGAAACTAGCGCTGAAAGCGAGAACAACGCTGAACATGACGATATAACAAAGCAACGTCATCGTCGTCGTCGGCGCCGTTATATCGCCAGCGGCAACTCGAAAATACCACAAGATCTGTTCATCGAGACAGCGATCTTCGTTGATCGTGATCTCTTCAAGCATATGTCGAAGAATTTTCCCGACAACACCGAAAGCCAAATGATACGCTTCGTCTTGGCAATGATAAATGCCGTGCAATTGTTGTATCATGATCGTTCGTTGGGGCGTCGCATAAATTTCGTACTGAAACGTTTGGAGATACTCTACAATGATCCACCGAGTTTACGGCGTTCCGATGATATCGATACATATTTGAGTAATTTTTGTGAGTGGCAACAGCGTTTAAATCCGCCGCTGGACACCGACACTATGCACTACGATCACGCAGTCATCTTGACGGGTAAGTGGGTGTGAGAAAGTGAGGTAGCGTTGTAGGGTTGCTCCTAAGATCTTAATGTATGGTTTCAAGAGGGAAATATTGAAAAATAAGATTTGTTTCCAGGAAGGCTTTACAAATTATCGAGAATACAATGCAGAAGTGGAGTAAACACACTATGCAGTGCTTAGTGTTTTCGAGCACTGAGCTGGTTCTCTGAGCCACATCAATTAAAGATTCCTTTTTTTTGGGAATGATTGTAACAAATGGTAGAGATAGTAAAATCCAATGAAAAAGTAAAACAGAACGGAGAATTTTTTATGACAGGATTTGAAGCTTTGAGAATAAGATAGGAAGACAGGTCATTCTTAAGTCTTGGAAGGGAGTCGATGGTATAAAACTAACACCGTACTAATTTATTTGTCTGATCGAGTACAACCTCTTGGACAAAAAGAATCTTAATAGTTTTCTTCGTGGAAATGACGACTGTTTTTAAGAGATTTTTAACTTAGACCCACCGGTAGCTCATCGCTCTCAAATTATTTGCATCAATACAAACGCAGTAAACCAATAAATCTTTTAAAAGGGCTTCTCATTTCCTCGGTCTAACAAATTATCAAGACCCAAATATCATTGACTCATATGAAACTAGTCTAGATAGCTCAAAACTGAGCGGCAAACAATAAAATTAGGCCAGTCCAAGTAATGCTAGTCTGAAGGAAAAGTAACACGCCACGATAATACAGGAGGATCTATTTCAGAAGTAAAAATCTATGGTGAAATCTATTTAAACGAGTCTAGTTTCAGCAGTTCCTTTCCTCTACCATATCACTGTAGCATTTTCAAGCGAAGCTGACAACCACATATGAGTCTGTTTCTTGGCTAGGTTTAATGATAATCCCAATGAGTTGTATCTGTATTTATCTCGTATAGCCAGGCAACATTAAGAGGCCTGGAATATCTAACATTAAACTCAGAATATATTTCGTTAAGGTCACTCCAATTTGACCATCATGGATGAGTCTGAGCATGCTACTCTCCAGTTATAAGAGAGTTAGTTATTCATGCCAGATCGGAAGTTTAGATGGAAGAGCGTCAACTGTTACAAAGCGCTAATTGTATATACGAAGATACGTCGATTGCTCTATACGGGGCTTGTCATGCGAATAGTGTAGATGAAGATCCTCTGGGATATCAGAATGTTCGGGTGTGATAACCTAAGTGAGTTGATACCCAGAAATTACTTTAACCTAAGTTTGAGTAAAATTGACTCCAAAAGTAAAGCGTAAAGTATAACTTTGGCTCAATAAGGTTCTGAATAGCTTATTTGGTTATGTTTATCAGACGTGATCTCATGCTTTTAAATCCCCTCATAGATATTTTTTTGCTGTCTGTGGTCCTGCCACGCGAAAAGGCATGCATCCTGAAATACGATTCAGACTTAAAGGAATGCAAGCTCGTATGTAATTAACTGTATTTAGGAACCATATGACAACAAAAGCACGGAAGAGATTATAAAGCTCTCAGTGGGTCGTATAATCAATATTTGAAGCCAGCAGCCAATTTTCTCATAACACTGACCACAAGGCTTACGAAAGCCTACAAATACATTTACACTAAAACAAATTTCAATTTTTCCCTCTCCTTAGGTCTCGACTTGTATGTAGTGGATAAAGGCGGCAAAAAGATCAGTCAGGTGGTCGGTCTTGCACCAGTGGCCGGCATGTGCACAAATACGTCTTCATGCACCATCAATGAGGGCAAACATTTCGAAAGTGTTTTCGTTGTGGCGCACGAGATCGGACATAAGTGAGTGAATCCGCAGCAAAAACACAAACAATTAAATTAAAAAAAAATGCATTTAAAAATTATAGTTCTCTTCTGTTTGTACCGTTAAATTTTATTATTTCACTACTTTTAGCCTTGGCATGCGTCACGATACAGTTAGCGAACGGAATTGCGATCCCACGCGCTACATAATGTCGCCCACACTGGGCAGCGGGAAGACGACGTGGTCGGACTGCTCGCGTGATTATTTGGAGAAGTTTTTACGGTGCGTAGAAAGTAAAGCAAATATATAATTAATTTATTTATTTTACAATTCTACTCTCTTCTCCAGCAAAGGTTTGGGCAGTTGTCTCTTCGATCATGGTCAATTCGCGAACAACTTGGACCATTCGGCGGAGGGTATTTTGCCTGGTGAGCGTTTTGATGCCGACCAGCAGTGTATGCTTAAGTACGGTCACCATTCGATGCGTGCCAAAAATCAAAAGCAGGCCGATATTTGCACAGATTTACATTGTCAGCGTGAGCGCTATACGTGGACATCACATCCGGCCTTGGAGGGCACTGAATGTGGTGCCAATATGGTAGGTGGAATATCTGTGGGGGACCTTAAGGGTTTTAATGTTCCTCTGTTTCCAATTTACAGTGGTGTCGTAGTGGTACTTGTGTCATACGTCCGACATATGTGGAACCCTATCACACGCCAAAACTTATAGCGAGTGCCACCAAAGTTGGTTATGATAAGGCGAATTTCTTGGAATCCAGTAAAATGGGTCATCTGCTGCATGAGTATAACTATAATAAGGTAATTTTTGTGATAATATCAGGTCCCAACTGCCTCCGAAAACGCCCGTTTACTTTTCCTTAAAACTCTTCTTTAAATACGGCGCCGGTAATTCGATAGAAAGTTTTTTGTATTCTGCTCTGTATCTTGGATGACTCATCCGAGAGCTTTTGGAGAAAAAAACTTGCTGATTGAACCTGCTTGGAATAAAAATTGTCATGTATATATTGAGTTGTAAGTGCGTCAAAAGAATCCAGATGATCTTAGGCGATTTGAGCTAAGTAGGATGTAGAGAAGGAAAATTAGCTCGAAGATAATTTCATTTTGAATCGATACTTCTGCATCCGAAACATTAATGAATTTAGCCAAAGAACTATCTACTTGTTCATCGTTCCACCTTGTATTCTTTGGCTTTCCCTGACTTTCCATTTCTTCTATGAATTTAGAGGCTTTCTCTTCCTTTGCAAAAGCATACGCTATCCGTTATCGACTCCACCTTCTTTGTTTTACCATTATTTATTTCCTTTCCTTCAGAAGGTGGCGAAAATTCCTTGAAGAATAATATCAGGGGTCGTCTAACTGGCAAAGCTGATATCTCGGTGCTAATTACACCTCTCTTTGGCATACGTCTTTGTCGTGTTGGTAAGTCTATTAGAAGTTCCTCTCGGCTGAAGGGCTTCTTCGGGTTTCAATAGCTCGTACTCGTTCGTCGAATACATCATTCGTTGTTCAAGTCTTTGCATTGATAAAGTACTTTAGACTATCGTATACCCTTTCGAAATGATGGTGTTCTATAAGCCTGGTATGGTATGGTATTTGGCCTTCTCCATTTGGAAGTTTAGGGAGAGGGTTTTGGGTATTGGTGCATGTTAATCTACAGCTATTCCCGGTTGAACACTGCTCTCGAACGCTCCTGCTTCAGAGATGGAGTCAAATTAAGTATCAATACAGTGTAATCATCTCAATCGGACCTACATCTTGGCTTTTGGTGTGCTCTGTTGTTTCTGTAGTCTCAAACTCCTCATTTTCATTCTATAACGTTACATTTATTCCTACTCTTAGTTCCGCCTCTTTATTTTTTGCAGTGTAATTCTTATTAATATTACCGCTATTTTATTTTTAATCTAATTAATCTTCCAGCCCGTCAGTTGGAGTGAATGGAGTGATGCGAGTGATTGCGCCTCCGGTTGTCTGTATGGACCTTCACGACGTCTGCTCGAAGGTAGCACCGGTCTGCGAACATACTCACGACGATGCATCGACCATCGCCGACGTTGTCTTGGACGTGATCATAAATACGAGGCTTGCATAGCTAAAGATTGTTATAGCTTGAAAATCGTGATGACGATCGATGAATTCGCGTACGATAAATGCAGTCGAGCGCAGAAATCTGATGCGGAGCTGACGGGTGAGGGTGTGCAGATAATAGGCGATATAGGTAAGGGACGAGGGGGGCAAGGTTTTGAATGCTTGTGTTAGCTGTAAATATACATATATGTATACAAATGTACAAATTTCCAGAGGAATCTTGCAAAGTTTACTGCCGCACAAAATCGAATGGCACCAAAACACGCCGCTGGACATTCCCAGATGGTACAACATGCCGTACAACGCTATACAAGTCCGAAGACATTTCGTACTGCATAGCGGGACGCTGCGAGAAGTTCTCATGCGATAATTCCACACAAAACTATTACAAATTGGATCCGAACTTTTGCCAGCAGCGAAAGGCGTCACAAGCGCGTGCCGAGGAGTCGGAGAGTCGACGTTACAATTCGGTGCATACAACGGCTGTAGCTGGCAATAATATAAATTATAAAAATGTCAATGGACACAGCAGCAGCAACAGCAATAACAACAACAACCACAACAATAACATACCAACATACAGCATCTACGCGCCAACAACATATCGCAGTAAATACGAGAATGGTGAGTAATTGCCACTGACCCGCCCTCACTACATATGTAAATATAGATATCTATATATATATATATTGATTTATGGTTTGCAGAGGTGGCCATACGTGGTTTCCATGGCCAGGAACGTGAAGTGCCCTACAAGCGCAAGTCGGACATTTATCAACCATGGAATAAATACAGTTATCCGCTACGCGACTCCGCCCAACCCATTGCACAGCCGCAGCCACCGAAACCGCCACCTCCAGTCTCAGCATCGCTGGTCGCTATGGACACAGCAGTCTTAGCTCAGTCGGCTACAGCGGCTGCGGCAGCGCCGGAGTCGGCGGAGTGGATTGTCAAATCGGGTTGTCACTCCAGTTGCATGGCCAAATCGATGGGCATACAAGTGGTGACCTCGCGGCGTACCGGCGCCAATAACATACAGCTCTGCACGCACACCGCCAAAGTAAATACACATACACAGATACATGCAGAAATAGTTGGGCAATAAATTTTGATAATTTTTTTTCTTTATTTCCAAATTTATTGCAGCCTTGTGAACGTCTACTCTCAGCCACCGAGCACGCCGAGCACACTTGTGCGCGCTATAAACTCAAAGTGCGCGGCCTCTCCGGTTATGGCACGCAAATAGCGGCCAGCGTCGACGAGCCGGATAGAAGCTGTCGTGTGGGTTGTCAGGATGAGTTTATAAAATACCGTTTTTATTTGGTTAACGGCCGTTATGGACACTTTCCATTGGGCACCAAGTGCTCGCATACAGAGGAACGTTATTGCGTGAATGGCAAATGCTTGGAATTTGGACCAGATAATATACCGTTGCAACAGTCACACATCAGTTTGGCGCTATTTCGTAGTCGACGTTCTGCGCCGTCGCAGGATATAGTGGAGCGACGAGAGAGCGCGCAGACGGCTGTGCAGAGTAATCGTCAGCGTCGTAGTTATCTCTACTTCGACCCCGTCAATATTACGGAGACAATCACACAAGATTTCATCAACAATATTGTAAAGAGTATAATGGATTTTGAGCAGCAGGGTGTTGAGGGTAAGCGACGGCAGTGTTGTTAAGGAGATTATAAAAAGAGAGTCTAATATATACATATATAATTTTTTTTCTTCTGCCGCAGATGAGCTGCTCATGCGCGATCACATCGAATTCAATAATCCCATACACATATCAACGGCGGAAGTAACCACGACGCAGCCGCAGCCGCAACAGACAACATTGAAAGTTGCTTAATCTGCACAAAAATCGAATTGCAAATTATTTATACGTAGATCTGCTTAAAAAATTGTTTTATAAATACATACACACGCTTAGTGGCAGTATGTGTTGTACTGGGTGTACTGAGACATAGATATTTATACACACATATATATATTTAGTTGTTACAATTTGTACGCTATTGTAGTGATATTTTCATTTTAGGATTTTATAAAAAAAAATCATAGCTTTCGAATTGATCTTAAGTTTTTTTTCTAATAAAAACATTTATTTATGTACATACAGCATATATACATACATATATTCATGACATTATAAGTATTGTAGTACTTAAAGGCTTCACACGCGAAAAAATGTGTTTAGCGTCTGCATATTTTAGAATTTAGTTATAATAAATAAATTATATAAAACACATTATATATTTTTATTCTTATTTGGGGAGGAATAAGGTGGTGGCGTTGTTTATTATAGAGGATAAGGTTACGTGGAGCGCAAAATCATATGCTTAATCACGAAGTTGCTTCGATTTCGTGGGTTGCCAAAGTTTTAAAAATAAGTCTGTATAATTATATTCATGAAATTGATTAACCCACTCTCTACTTTTGGTCTCTTCGTTGCACTGGATCTTTTGCACTGTTGAAGGTTTGAATAAATGCGTTGTAGTTTTAGAAATTTAGAACCTTCTTTAATTGATAACATCAGCTCTGACTTTCTTGAAACTTTGCCAAAATGCTTATGGAAAAATATAAAAACTTCCAAAAGGTCGTGACAGATTTTAAAAAATTCTGAAATATTTTTTATACTAATCTTTTTATCACTTGAAAGTCAGCATTCATTTTTCAATAAGAACATTTTCCATTTAAACAAATCCGAAGCAAAAAAAAAGGAAAATATAACAGTAATTTAAAAGAGTGTACAATTATTGTATGTACAAAAAAACGTGCTATTTTGAATATCCGGTAGATGTCACCTATGAAGCAATAATTTTTTGACATTTATTATAGATGCTACAGCAATGCCTTGAAATGATTGTAATTCATTATAAAAATAGTGATAACCTGGAAGAGACGGTGCTTCAAACCGGTTATCGGGAAGCACCTTGTCGGACCGCAGTACAAAAATTCGGTCGAAAAACTGGAATTGTTGGGCCAACTTGATTATTTGGAGAATGAAGTACTTGCATGTCACCCAAGAACAAATGAGAATACGGCTGCTGTTGTCCGAAGTGTGGTAGGAAACCCAGATTTGTTCATTCCACAGACGACCTCACACTTTTCTTTTGCAAAAACACTGGAGTCTTAAGGATTGTAAAGTTCAGTTAATACAAGTACTCAAACAACGTCGTGTCTTTACTGATTGGATTCTTGATATGTTTGAAAATGATGCGGAATTTCATCGAAAAATCATTTTGACTAATAAAGCCCATGTCCACCTCGATAGAAGTAGCGAATAAGCAAATTTGGCGCATCTGGGGCTCGGAAACACAAACTTTACGGTTGAAAAGCCTTTTCATCATCAATGTGTAACTCTTGGTGCGGTTTATGGTTGGCGGGGTCATTGGACATTGTTTTTTTCGAGAATGAAGCTGCTGCCCAATATCAAAATATTACAACTTATTGAAAAACCCTGTATGTTTCTTATTTTTTGTAAAGGTAAAACCCACACACAGGCGTCTTCTTACCTACTACCCGGTCTTTACAAATTCTGATATCAAACACACCTATTTTTCTCCTTCGTAGCGAAGTGATACATGAACATTAAGTCGGTTTTGGAAATAAATATGACACTTTGGTGTTTTACTAGTTAAGGCTGAAGTTAAAAGTAGCAGAACAAAGTACCTTATCATAGCCCATTAGCTAACTCGTTGTGCAACTTATTCAAAAATTTGCGGCTTTAGTGAAGAGAACTTCCCTTCTACATGATCAGTTACTTGTCGTCTTTAATTCTTGATTTTGACAAAGCTGACATTCAAGCGTAACACTGTGATATGGTCAGTTGTATTCATCTCATATTTAAGAGAGTATTTCTTGACCTTTAACTGATGACAATGGAAAAGCTGTTCCATTATCCGACTATGAAGCAGTCCGAATAGCAATCGCCCGCTTAAAAAACAGCAAGCGAAGGGGCCCGACGGATTACCGGCCGAGCTGTTTAAATGCGGTGGTGAAGAGCTGATCAGTTGCATGCAACAGTTTAATTACAAAATATGGTCTAAGTAAGCTTTGTCCAATCCAAAAAAGGGCGATCCCACAGTATGCGCCAATTACCGTGGAATAAGCCTTCTTAATAAAGGTTCTATCAAGCATATTGCGTGAAAGACTGAAGCCCAGCGTCAACAAACTGATTGTACCTTTTAAGCGTGATTTCAAACCTGGTAAGTCAACCAATGACCACATATTCACCATGCGAAAAATCTTGGAAAATACCCGTGAAAAACGATCGACACCCACCACATCTTAGTCGATTTTAAAGCCGCCTTCGACGGCCCGAATAGAAGCTGTCTTTACGCCGCCGGTGGAAGCAGAGAAAGAGGTAGACCTCCACTCCTTGAGCCAAGTGATTATATTTTTAAATGGATCTCGTTCCCTTTTAGCTGTTTGGCTTAAATCAATCGATCGATTATTTTTAGCCAAAAAAATTGAGACAAGAAAGGTAAAGAAAACTTGTTTTTGTGCAATTTTGCTTATTTCGGATACTGAAAACCTTATACAGCATACTATGCCTCTTTCGTGTGTGCCACAAAATTGCAGTTATTTACAATACGCCTATTTTGTTCTCGCATTCATTATCCGGAAATTTGTCGTCGTTGCTTAAACGTATTTTCCGGCGGTGCGAAATATGAGCTTTCGTGCGCCTAAAATCATGCTACAAATATCATTGTAGTTCAACAAAGTGTATTTATTAAGAAATCAAAAACAAGAATATTAGTGCTAAATGACTTAGCGAAACTTTAGTTTACCGTTATTAATTCAAACAACAAGAAATCGATCTGCGACTAAAATATCAACAATTTACCACACACCCATACACAAACTTTTTGCAGACAGGGTATAAGAGTATGTATGTGTAAAGGTGTCATATTAAATTAGAATGCGCGTAGGAATTATCTACGCATTTACTATATAGTTATATGTAGGTACGCAGATATGCAAGCACGTGTGTGTGTGCGCCTTTGAAATATTGAAAAATAAATTTACTGCATTATCCGGCCTGTCATAAACCTAACTTTCGCAGGCATTAATGTACTCGTATGTAGAAGCCCAGCCGTATTTATATATGTGTACCAGTAAGTCTGTATACGTGTATGTATACATATGTATATGCATGTATGCCGAAGGCTTCATGGTGGCAAGTGTTGAATATTGACACCCACCAAGCCATATCGTGCCACACCTCCATTTGTGGCGCTACATATTTTACTAGTTTGTAAATACTTCAGTGCACTTACACAAATACATACTCGTATGTACATTTATTGTAGTTAAACCCACTTGAACTAATAAGGCCCGGAGCATACGGCGGGGCTGTGTGAGGAAATAGTGCAAAATATGAGGAATTTCGGTAGAGATATTTAACTTCTAAAGCTTTGAAATACGACACCACAATGCGAATGGAGTTGATGGTGTCGACTTGGCACGCGAACATTGAAATTCCATTAGTACACTAACAACAATGCAATAACAAAAATAATGACGAAAGAATAGAGTACAGATAAAAGCAACAAGAATTGCAAATAATTGTAAGAGCATGAGTTTATGGGTTGGTAGGTATGCATGTGTGTATGTATGTACCAAATGTGCATGGTAGTGGTGGCCACTTCTTCTTCTTTTTCTCCTTTATCCTTAACGAAAGTGAAAGAGTAAGTAAGGTGAATGAGCGAAGACAGCAATGAAAGTGAATGGCGAAAAAAGGAGTAATAAATATTAAAACACAACCAAAACAGCTAAGAGTTGCAGAAAATACACTCATGTGCAAAATAGTAGGTGCTCTTAACTTTGATACTCTTCATAATTCGGAATCAGTGAAAACTAAATATTATTTTAGATGAAATGCAATGCAAAGCATAAAAACTAAAAAAAGCTCAGCAAAATACACTCATGTGCAAAAGTATAGGTGCATCAAATTTTCATAGCATAACTCGAATTATTAAAATACTAAATAGCAGAAATGGCAAGATATTAAATCAACAAGCGATGTAAATACACTCTTGTGCAAAAAAGTAGAAGCATGAAGCATTTATAGCATAACTCGAAATCATTCAATACTATATATTAGAGAAATTAAAAAAACGGAACATCAGTAAGTTATATGAATACACTCAGGAGCAAAATAGTTGAGCCATTATACTCTTATTGCACAAGAAAGCTAATTGTATATAAATACACTCGTGCGCAAAATATAAAACGCTTATAGCATAATCTGTAATCATTAAAAATTATATATAATATTAGTAAAAATTGAAAATAGTCAAGTACAGCATTAAGAAGCTGTATAAATACACTCAAGTGCAAAATAATAGGTGAATCACGTGTAAAATATATTTTGAAATTTTTCAAAAAACTCTTTGCTTGGAACTTTTTTCTTATAGTGAATTATTTCCTTAGAAAAAACTTATATCGAAATTCATAAGAAAATTTAGCCGAGCAGGGGAAAAATATTTTTTTTATTTTTGTTCTTTCCTGGAATCGAATGCCCTAAGAGTTTCTTTAATTTTCCACAATTCTTAAAAGTAAAATAATTTAAAAAATTATTAATTTGACATTATAAAAATTTTATTTCCAGGAATTTGCAGCAAAAAATTTTTGTATTTTTGATGAGAATTAAAAAAGTTAATTTATTCCTGATTTCAATTTACACGCCCATTTTTTTTCTCAAGAATGTATCCTTATGGGAGCATGAATTTGTATACTTCAAAAAATAAATGTGAACCGCTGCGGATGAGTAGATAAAGAAAGAGGTGAGACAACGGAAGTTGTCTAGGAAGGAAAGTAGATGCGAAAGTCAAACGATATGCAAATCGTCAAAATGCATTCGTGAGTAAATAAGCAAATGGAAATAGCCAGATATATATATGTATGTATGTAAATGCGAAAAAGCATGTGGCTACTTATATGTATCTACATAAATGAGTATACAACTATTTATATATATCTGTATATGCATAAGTAGAGTAGGGCAAATTGGAAAGAGCCAATAATGTGAATCACAATAGTGAAGTAGTGAAGTAGTACACCTGTATATACCTACATACATACATACCATTCTAAATATCAATATTCAGAATTGCAATAATTGTATGACAGGTGCTAGAATCGTTGCCGATGCCTACATGCCGCGGCAGAAATTAGATAAAACACCCGCTGCAAATGCGCTAGGTCACAGTCGGCGT